AGATAGAAGATAGAAGATAGAAGATAGAAGATAGAAGATAGAAGATAGAAGATAGAAGATAGAAGATAGAAGATAGAAGATAGAAGATAGAAGATGAAGATGGTAAAATAGAAGAGATGGAACATGAAAGATGGAAGATGAAATGGAAGATAGACATGGAAGAGACGGGATGATAGATGGAATGTGATGATATGATCAATGAGAGACACAAACGCAAAATGAATGGAGCTAACAACAGTGAATGACAATGAATGATAAACAAAAGTTTCCACCTCAGGTTCCCAGCTTGCCGCGTCGTACCGCGTCTGGGAGTCTACAATCGCGACGCGCAACGTTTGCGTTGACAGACTGGTTACCGGTGAACGTTTCTCCGGACCCAATCCATGGATCTCGCTCCCATCCATGTCAAAAGACTCTGCCTGCATGGCTAGTGCCTAATACGTTCCAGCATCTCATGGCTATGGCGCGACAACACGCATCATGAGTGGACGCCCCGACGTGATGTGTATCGAATAGTTGTTCCCTGGTACCATAGATGGTCATAGACCAATCTGCACTTAAACAACAAAGCAAGTACACTCTTGCACACGTTCCTGTCCAGGTACCAAAGTAGTCAATAAAGAATCGTCAAAGCGCATCATGTCAGTATGTGGGTTCTACCTGGTGACACGCGGCTGGCCAATGCATTCATCCCTGGGTCTGTGTGCGGTTCCGTATTCATGCACGCCGGAGAGTCAGGACGCCTGTATGAAGCGATTCAGCAGTTCAACAGTGCCCACGCGAACCGGGCCCACGGTTAAGCCGTTTCGGCTGGAAGTGCACGACTTACTAATTTCTACTGTAGACGCATGCTCATCCGGATGCACGATAAAGTCGAAGCGTCTGTCCCGTCGGAACCTGCTGTTGGCTTCGTTCGCGAAGAATTCAGCGCGTCGTTGCCTGCGGCGAAAGAAGCGCAAGCCCTGGCACCAACCTTAGGTTTCATGGTCAGGGGCATCATCAGCACATGAAGGATGGGTGCGTAGAGTAGTTGGTCGAACGAAAGTGGTTGAATGATTCGTGGCGAGAATGCGACGCAACGTGAACAAGACCTCTTTATAATTGATGACAGTGCTTCCAGACCATTCGTTGAGGACTCCTGTGGCGGCGGTGCCTGGTGGACACGCGATGAGGAGTACAAACATACGAGGATGTCCTTGACCAACAGCGGATGCAATGCTAGCCATGGGTGCACATCATCTAGATTATGACAAAAGCATGCATGGCTGGAAAATATGTGGTCTATAGCGATTCAAGAACCTGTCCATCAAATGTAACATTCTACCTGCCTGTACTTGGATCAATTGACAATGCATCAGGTATCGCAGATGGCTTCACCTGAGGTAGGCCTGGATCTCGTGATGATGGCGAAATGGTAATTGGATGGATGGCTGTGATTATCGGAGGATGTAATAATATCACTCAATTCCTACTCTTAATAGAGGCTAGCTAGTGTCGGTGCGGATCTGCGTGATTGACAATATGTAGGGTCTCCGCGAAAGATAGGCCCGTCACTATCAAAGTCCCCTCGTGTTCTTTCACTTGTAGGCTAGACTGCACTAGAGCTACCAGAATGAACTCCTTTAACATGACGCTGTCAAGATGCGATCATGTTGGATAATGGGCTGTGCGGTGCATATGCCTTCGCTATTATGGTGACAAAAACATGACTGATGCAAAAGCATTGAGAGCCTGGTCCCACGTCTATCGGAGACTGACCGGGTCTTCAGTTCTTCATCAGCCCTCATCCATTCTTCTCTTCTTTACGCCAACGTCGATCGATAACGGCGGACTCAGCTGGTGAAATGTGGGCAACGTTCCGAGACCTGGTGCGGGTACAGGTGGGATTCGGGATGACGATGATGATGGGGATGAGGCTGTGACTGAAGGCATATTTTTCATTGGGGAGTTGCTCGTGCTTCGGAGCCGGCTCGCGTTGACATTGCGCAGCTTTACAAGCGCGCACCGTATGTTTTCGAGCCGAGTAGTTGTTGCCCAATGTACAATGTTTCGCAGCACTCGTTTATAGTCCTTCACTTCGGTAGGTTCCTCCAGCCACGTTCTTTTAATGAGCTCCATGTGATATCGCTCCAAGCCTTCACTGCTAATATCTCGCCAGTGGACGTATAGTTGTACCGAATCCATATCGCACGTCATGCTAAAGTGACAGGTATCAACCGGCTTAGTATTATGAGCAGCCGCAACGAAGAATTTGTTCATGTGGTTGATGATCGTAGCGCCATCGCGAGCGCCTTGGACGCGCGCATGTAGGTGTGATTCGGCTCCGCCTTGTGATTTCCACTGCGCCGTGAAGAATGGAAAATGTATTTGGTCGGCCAATTTCATGCTATCAAAATTAGGTCTCCTAGATTAATGCATTCCAAGTCGTACGTACCGATTTAGCAAAGCCTCCTCCTCGCCAGTGAATGGAGCTGCAACCGATACCCGTTCTGCGTCGCTAGCGGACACATATCCGGCAGCGTGGTCAGGCTTCGGTCGGAATAATGATCCAAAGTATGTCTTGATAGTCTTACTACCTGTAATGGGTACCCAGGTCTCCTTGAGGTTGAGTTCCGGCTTAGTCGTAATTAGTGACGTCCCTTTTTTCTTGTGTGCGATTTCCCCTCGAGGGAGTAGAAGTTTCGCTAGGTAACTTATTCCCTCGTCTTCGTTTTTGGAATAGTATGCCTGCTGGTAGACCTCTGCCACCTTTTCCGGTGTGTTCTTCCCGAGACCTTGGATCTGTTCCTCGAATGACTTGATAAGCGCCGCCACATCCGCGGGAATTGTGGCCTTGTGGCAGACAAGAATACCATATGCCGAGAGCTTCGCCAGGTTATCTGAGACGTTAGGCGAACTCTTGCTTGACATGGTATCCGACGCTGACTCTTTCGATGGTAAAGCCGACATAGGTCTACCTTCTTCCAGCTCTTTGTGCAGCCGTTCAAGGTTATTGCGCGTTATAGGTAGAGGCGCGGATGATTCGACGGAGATGTTATCGCAATCGAGAGATGGGTAGAGTTCGTTCGGGCTGTTGGGCGAAGGGAAGTGTGGTGTTGCAAGAGATTGCTGAAAAGCTGCGGCGCAGAATCTATCATCATGAGCTTTTGCGTTTTGAAGTCGGCATTCGATACCATACTGTGATGAATCCTTCTTTTGTTTCTTGAGTACAGGAGGATCAAGCTCCTCTGGCGCGCTGGTACTCTCGTCTAAGGTACGCTTCTTAACCATCAAGTAAAGCTGTGACGCCGCAGCGTGATTGTAGGATATTCAAAGATTATTTCACAGCTGTCTATAGTGGTACAGGCTGCTATGATCGTTGGGTTGGTGTGGAAGTGCGGTTTTGTCGTTGCTCGTCGACTTACCTAGCGGTAAGCATCCATCCTGTAGGCTGCGGAGGGAGAGCCCGCGTCACGTGGGTCCGAGGCTAGGTATATTATGTAAGCGGACTATTCCTAGCAGGACAAATGGTACGATTCTTTTATACTATTCAAGAACAAGGCGTCTACTATATGCCCCTCTCCCATTGGCCGAGTATACATATGACATGATTCGCAGGCTAGGGCGGTACCATGCTAGCTGATCTAATTGTAAATTTCGTCAAGAGCGTGAGCAGAGATGAACCTCCACACGGCTTGTCACTGTCGAACGCCTACGGCCGGACGACATTTCACTGGTGTGTTATAGCACATAGTGATTGATTATGACCTGCCAAGAAAGGTTCCGAACTGCTCGTCAACAGTGTGTTATAGATTATCGTCACAAACCACAGCCGAAGGTGCCGTGTGATAGCTTGGCGCACCAGACACTATGATAGACGCCATGTGAAATATCGTCTTTACGAGAAGCTTGGGACCAACACACAATAGTTTACAATCTGCTCCAAGACATCTTCTTTCCTTTTAATCTCTCCCTTTTGCCATCATACAATATCGGAAGGTAGAGACATGGGCTTGCAATTCTTAAAATGCGAAAAGAAGTTTAAGGCTAAGAAGAGATGTGTGGGTATGAATGCCATGTGCATATGATTATGGGTATGGAAGGGTAGAAGATTCATAATAAGCGTTCTCTCCTTGTGCTGAGGGTGAACATGGGGATGAGTCTTGTTCCATCTTCGACTATCGCCACCTACCGTTGTCTAACCACACAAGTATGTCATGTATCTAGTACAAGTCTATACGGCGAATTCACCACTGCACCCATTACCCTCTCCGTAGAGTGCTCTCCACTTCAGACAACAATAGTCTCCTTGAGTCAAATGCCACATTCCTCTATGTAGCTTAATATCTCATTATTACGATTTTATCTATTGATATCACTATATGCCTCTATGATAGGAAGGATTCAAACGTTAGTGGTAACATTACTTTCGCTGTCCGTTCTCCTTGTTCACATGTTCATATGCCTCTATCGCCCATGCAAGTACAGTCTTTATAGCCCTTTCCTTTCCACCACTTCTGGTAGACATAAGAGTACCACGTGCCTTGGAAGGTTCATCATCAGCAATGTGCAGCTGTCCAATCCACGCGTTTGTCCAATCCGTCACGCCAACATAGACACGGGGTAGACCGAAGAGTTTCGCATACCTGTCAGCTGGTTAATGATTTTGCTGGAATTTGACCCGAATAGACTTCTGTTTCTTGACGGTGGAGTACTTCCTTGTGGGTGTCGTCTTTGGCGCTTTCGTTGCGGTGGTATCGGTTGGTTCGGCCTATTATCCATGGCATCCAACCATTCCTCTACGTCGATTGAACCATGTCGTTTTGATTCAAGCAAAGCGAACAGCTTAGATTCGCCACTACTATCTATATACGCGAGCATGACGTCGACGAAGTAGTGGCTTAGATCGTAGTCTGACATGACGGTAAAAGTCGCCTTGGGGTAGATGAGGTTCAGGGCCTGAACTACAGGATGGACGATGTAAAGGGCTCCTGCAAAAACGACGTCGCTTTCGTTGTAGAGTGGCTGTTCAATTTTGCCTGCCACCGAGACATATTTCATCTTCTCGTCTTGGTAGCTAGACTTCCAGCTGTAATCAGCCCTCGACCACGATAAAGGTGCGAATTGCGCCCCATAGTGTTGTGCTGTTGTTTTGTGGGTATGATGCTTTTTGTCTTTCAGCCCAGGGGCTAGTCGTGGTATAATAATGGGGGGGCCGTGCTCTACCCGATCATAGAGAGAAATGAAGCTGTCTTCACGATCATCCATGACGAGCCTGGTCTTGAAGTTAACCTCTTTCTTCACCTACAATGGACCCAAGACGTCCGTGAGATCTATTCTTATCTATTATTGCTACATGGCCTAGAATACAGTCTGACGGTCGTATCTGTCAGCGTTATTTGTTTGTCCGGTAGATATTGTTTCAAGATCTCGGCTTGCTTACGACACTTGTACCATCGTTTCTTGTGGTATACCTGACATCAAACAGCCAAGCTGCAACATGCTTTACAAAGACAAACCTATTGCATTATTTTAAAGAACTGATAAAGATAGAAGAACATGATAAATACATGTTTTCAACAAATCTGTTACGTTCTTTTTAGCCATATTGCGTTTCGTGTTTGGTCTCAAGTCACAACCGTTGGCTTTATTCATTCTAGCTTAGGAAAGACGTAACTGAAGGCGGATGCCGCCCCACTTTGTGCAACTCGCAACAAGCAAACCAATCTTGCTTGTCCTTCCGGTAGTACTTTATTCACTCCGCATGTCTGTATTTTTCTTTTTCCTTCTACTTCTCGGACCACAATCTCTTCACATAATCGCCGATGTCGGTCGGGTCTTTAAATAGACAGCCTCCCGGCTCCCATACTAATACTAAGCCTTTTCTCCGCGACAAAATGGACACGGCACAGGATAATAGTAGCAACACAACCTTGCGGGGGATAATGCAAGAAGACAGCTTTGCGAGCAACATGTCCCACAATTCGAAGGCTAGCAGCTCTACGACCATCCACTCGGATATTACCACAGCTAGTAGCATAGAGGTTGACATTGAAGGACCAAATAATCCACGACGACGATAAGAGGAGAAGTGTACCCTGTCATGGAGGGGACCTCAATCCTGTAGGAAATGATATTTGTCATTGAAGCTTGACTAACAAAGATGTCTCAGTATCAACTCCCCACGAGTAGCTTGGTAGTAGACCTAGCCAAGTCTCGGCCGTCGCACTTGACTTACGAAGAGTCCCAGCAGTTCAAGACCGAAGGATCAGGGTGCGATGCACCTACTCAAGCCAACTATTCCGTAACCGAGTCGTCACAGCAGTGGCCTCATGATGTAAGAAACCATCCCTTCACTTCGGATCGCGCTTGGAAACTAACTACCAAGCTTTAGTACAGTATCAAGCACGATTCTATCATCGAACTCATCCCCGATGATCGCACAATCTGGCCATATGACCCAAAGCCCGCCGCCACCTCTGGTCCTCCTAAGAGGTACCATCTCAAAGCTAATCTACCCGAGCAACACACCGAACCGTGCACAATTTTTCGAGGCTATGAATTGGGGGACATTCAAGGGGAAAGACCGGTGGTTATCAAATTATGGTATGCGGATAAAGAAGTATTCGGCCCAACGAAACCTGAAGTACGTCTGGAAAGCTACTTTACTGAAGTTCAGGCCTACACATTACTCCAGCGGTTTCAGGGTCTATTGATCCCAGAGCTATACGGCTCGTACATGGTCGCCAGCTGCACGGACTCCCATCCTCACTTCCTTATGCCGCGACGGTATGATGCGGCGCCGAATTACAGGATCTTTGCTCTTGTCAGAGAGTATATTGACGGCAAATCGCTTGCGGACCTGGGAGCTAGTGAGTTTGTGCCAGAGCTCTCAGCGCAGGCCATGTTTTTGAATCAGCTCTTCCAGCAAACGGGCGTGGACGATAGCAGCATGCAGGAGGATCACATTATTATGCCCAGCAAGTCGTCCGCCACAGTGGCACGGTGGAAGAAGCTACAGGCGCTACATAAGGGCCTTCAGATTGGCAGAAAGTACATCGAAGTAACTGAGTGTAACAAAGTAGTAGTCGTTAATTTGTCGCACGCTAACATCATCGCATGGGAGTTGCCATATCAGAACCCCCTCCTATCAGTTCGATACTATCACTGGCTGCGTACGATGAATGCCGAGCAAAAAAAAAAAACTCTACGTCTCTGCTTACAACGGGGCCTAGAAAGATTATGGCCAATCGATCAAGAAGATTGGGACGAAATCATTAACCACTCGATGTTCTCCCTGGGAGACGATGCTAAGCGGGAGCTTCAGAAGGACTTAGATAGATACAATAGAGACACGGCTAAGAACTAGATCCTGCTCGGTGAACACGCCAGTTTCCAAAGCGGTAATAGGCATGTTACTATCCGTACGTTGGCAGCAGGACCTGACAGCTCTGCGCTACTAGCACATTCATAGATTAAAATCATTCCGGTACTATTAAACTCAATACGAAGAAGCTCTTAAATGCAAGACACCTGGTAGGACCGTAGGAGGGAGTGGCGGCAGCAGAATAACTGAACATCGCGGTGTTTTATGGCGCTGTTTCTAACTCTTTCTATCGTAGCTTTTGACCTTTCTATGGCCTATTAAAGTACGCGATTGTAATATCAAACCTAACGCGAAGTATTTCTCTTGTACTAAGCATATAATATTAGTTACTACTAGGGTGGCCTGCGGCCGGCAGACTGCGTGCAGTCTTAATTTAAGGCACTAAGGCACTAAGGCACTAAGACACTAAGGCACTAAGGCACTAAGACACTAGCACACTAAGGCACTAAGGCACACCGGAAAATCCACGGCTAACGTGCGAATTTTCAACCTGCTACCAAACGCGATACTCGAGGCTTAAAAAGCCTACTCGTCCGCGACGACGCGGCTGCAGATAGTAAAAAGTATATAGAATTACACGGCGTAGAAAGCTCTATAGACGTGTCGGTTAAACTTTTAATTAAGGGCGTGGTTAATTTAATATATCGCAAAAGGTGGTTTTTTCGACGTGATTTTGGTGAGGGCGCTAATTAGCGGGAGCTAGAGAAAACATTGCATCTTTTTATGATTCCTTTGGAATTAGTAGTAATTACCGCTTATAGGGTCGAAGCTGCCGATATCGAAGATGTATTTCCTTGCGCTTACGGCAAAGCATCCAGGAGATTACGTCGCCCGCTATGCATTTCGATTGTTACCTATAATTGACATTCAATGTCTACGGGTCACATGGATTCGAGTAGTAGCAGAAAATCCGATACTTCGCACACGAATTATTGATATCCCGACACGAGGACTGGTTCAAGTGGTGGTCACGAAACATTCAACACTGCACGCCTGCCAAACTGTAAACATGATACTTGTTGAGTATCTTGACTTGGATCGCTCAGCACTTACGGGTCTGGGACTGCCACTCGTGCGATCTGCTGTCTTGCAAGAAACTCACGCAGATGCGGAGCTGTCGCAGAGCTTTTTTATTTAGACACTCCACCATGCAGTGTACGATGGTTGGTCGAAGACCATTCTCTTTGAACAACTTGCCACGGCCTATCATTTAGCACAGGACCCGAGCAAAGGATTGCCTCATGCGGTACCACCTCAATTTCAGGCTTTCGTAAAGCATATTAAAGCTCTACCGGAGGATGAACTAACCAGGTTTTGGTCCTCTTAGTTTGAGAATCTTAAGGCAGAACTATTTCCTCTGTTACCTTCGCCAGATTATCAGCTGAGGTCTAATGAGGCAAAAACGGTCGCTATTAACGGATTAGAATGGCCAAGCCAAGCCGGTGTGGCACCGAGTGTCGTCCTTCGTGCTGCATGGAGCATTCTAAGCTCGAAATACACTAACTCAAAGGATACTCTGTTTGGTGTCACTGTGAGCGATAGATAGATAGCCTTTCCCGGCGTACAACAGCTTACCGGACCGACCATCGCTACAGTACCTTTAAGAATTATTATGGATCCAGCTATGAGTATGTAAGACCTTCTTCTTTAAATTTAGTATTAGGCTGTTAGCATGATCGAATACGAACATACTGGACTTTAAACAATCCGCCGTGTCAGCCCGCAGGCTGCAAGAGCATGCGACTTTAACTCTCTACTTGTAATTCAACCTAGCATAGAAAGAGAGGACAAAGATGTCCTGGATAGTCTTTTTAAGACTGACAGTCAGTATCGGGCGCGGTTTAAGGATGAAGTGGCGGAGTTCCGCACGTACACGCTGTCCTTGGAGTGCTAACTAAATGACGATAGTGTAGAGATATCCATCGGTCCGATTCGACTCTGTCGTGCTAGATGCCGACCAAGTGGTACTTCTCATTCAATAGCTAGGACCTATCGTGCATCAGCTGTGCGATGTCCGATTTACCCAAACAAGACTCGAAAACTTGGACTTTGTGTCGCAATAGGACCTCGAACAGATTTGGCGCTGGAACCAGAATGTGCCATTTGATGCGGAGAGCTCCGTCGTACATAGTTTGATCGCCGAAACAACGAGGTCTCAACCAGGAGGTCTCAACCAGGGGCTCAGGCTATTTGTGCATGGGACGGCGAATGGACCTATCTTGAGCTCGACGAGCTGTCCACCTGTTTGGCCCACCAGATTATGGATCAAGGAGTAAAGCCCGGAGTAATCGTACCACTGTGTATTGAGAAGTCGAAATGGATGCCTGTAGCCATGCTTGCGGTTATGAAAGCTGGCGGTGCATCGATCGTCCTTGATTCTGCTCAACCGGAGCATAGACTCCTTAGCATTATAAGGCAAATAAGTCCGGTCCTTATACTAACCTCAGAAGCTAACGAAAGCCTCGCCCATCGCTTGACTACTGGGCGGGTTGCAATTATGGATGAGCCACTGACGGATAAATCCACTCTAAACACATGGCGCACACTACCGCAGGTACTGCCCTCTGATATGCTCAATCTTGTCTTCACGTCTGGCAGCACTGGCGAGCCTAAGGGTGTTGTTATCACCCATGTAAACATGACCAATGCGATCGTTCACCAGAGAGGATGCCTCGGGTTCAGCAGCAAGTCACGCATCTTCGACTTCGCATCCTACATGTTCGACGTCGTGTGGTGCAATCTGATCCAGGGACTATCAGCCGGAGCTTGCATCTATATCCCGAGCAACGACGACCGACATAACGATATTGTGGGCGCAGCAATCAGGCTCTTAGTCAACATAGCTATCCTAATACTGTCTGTTGCTCGTGGCCTTAACATGAAGGCACTCGAGAACCTAAGCTATGTGTTTTTTATTGGAGAGCCACTGTCCATGAGTAGCTGTGTTGGCCTGCCACCTAATACCGTGGTCACAAACTTATACGGCCCTACTGAGTGTACAACATTCAGTACAGCTCAGGTGGTCGATAAAACTTCGTTCAAGCGCATCAGCATTGGTAAAGGTCTTGGTCTGAACACATGGCTGGTGGACCCGTCCGATGACTCCAAGCTTGTGCCAAGAGGCTGTATTGCAGAGCTCCTGCTTGAAGGTCCACTTGTCGCAGCTGGATATCTTAGTAAAGCTGCAGCCACTGTAACTGTCTTCGTCAACGGCTTAAATTGGCTTCTCGAAAGTCCCACAAATATTGGTGCCAAAGGTCGTCGCAGCCGATTGTACAAGACTGGAGACCTCGCAAGGTACAACATCGATGGCACCTTAGAGTTTCTCGGGCGGAAGGACTCTCAAGTGAAACTAAATGGCCAGCGGGTCGAATTGGGTGACATAGAGCACCACATCAAGGCATGTCTGGAGTACAGTAAGGAGGATCTCGACGTTGTCGCCACAGTCGCACAGCCGCAGGCAAGCAATAAGGAAGTGCTCGTTGCCTTTCTGAAAGTTCCCAGGCTGTCTTCGTTCGATGACATGGCCTTTGATGCCGTCTTCGAGAAAGTCACGGACGTTCTTCATAGCAGACTCAGAGCTCGAGTGCCCGCTTATATGATTCCTTCGGCATACATTCCGCTGGACTGTATTCCAACTACGCCTAGTGGCAAGACCAATCGGCGCAAACTCCAGACTGTTGCTCAACAATTGAGCTTCCAAGGAGTAGCGGCCAGAAATTCTAATCTACTGACTTCAGAAAAAAAACGGCCTTCAACAGATGTCGAAATATGTCTGCAAAGCTTGTGGGCAGCTGTGCTGGGTCTAGAAGCTAAGGACATCAATACGGCCGACAATTTTTTGCGCATTGGCCGCGACTCCATATCAGCCATGAGACTTGTCGCTGCTGCTCGTAAGAACGCTATTGTCTTGTCGGTTGCAGAGGTTTTTCAGCACCCAGTCTTGAGCGAAATGGCCCTTGCCGCTCAGACCCTTGAGAGCAATCATATACCAGAGCGTTTTGCGCCTTTCACGCTAATTCTGAAGGAAGATAGCACTGTTGAGTATTTGAGACAGCAGATTGCGAGCCATTTTGATGATGTAGAGGCTTCTCATGTGGAAGATGCCTTTCCCTGTACACCATTACAAGAAGGGTTGCTCGCACTTACGAGTAGGCGTTCCGGAGATTACGTCGCACAGTTCGTCTACCTACTTCAACCAACTGTGAATATCCAGCAGTTCATGCAAGCTTGGGAGGTAGTCGTTAAAGAGACACCCATATTGCGTACTCGTGTCGTCGAACTTTCGGGTCATGGTCTTGTACAGACTATCCTCAATCAGCAGGCTAAATGGGCCCGCTGGGACGACACGATGACTCTTCACACCTATCTAAAGGCAGACTGCGAGCTCGTCACTGGTCTAGGCACCCCATTGACACGGTATACAGTGTTGCGGACTTCTGAGGACGGCAGTTGGTACTTTGTGTGGACCATACATCATGCTCTCTATGATAGCTGGTCGATTCCTCTGATTTTGGAACGACTGGAAGGCTCTATAGCTCCTCGGCTTCCCCCGCCACCCTTTCAGAGATTCGTTAAACACATTACTGAGATCGATATTGGCGCTACAGCAAAGTACTGGGAGAAGCAGTTCCAAGGCTTAGAAGCTCAGAATTTTCCTCAACTACCCTCAAACAATTATCAGCCACTCTGTAAGGCCTTCATTAAGCGAAACCTTCATGTGCCGCACTGGCCGGACACAGGAATCACACCGTCCAGTATATTGCGAACAGCATGGTCTCTATTGGCTTCAAAGTATACCGATAGCTCTGAAGTTATTTTTAGAGTCACCGTAGCCGGACGACAGGCTGCTGTGACAGATGTTGAGCGGATGATCGGGCCAACCATAGCTACTGTTCCTGTACGAATAACTCTTGACTGGTCTCAGATGACTGTCGAACAGCTGCTGCGGCAGGTTCAGGCACAATCAGCAAACATGATTGCATTTGAGCAGATGGGCCTACAGAACATCCGACGTACAAGTCCAGAGGGTGAAAGAGCATGCCAATTCCAGACCTTGCTGGTTGTGCACGCTGTCGAGGCGAACGAAGCGCGACATCAATGTACAAGCAGCCGCTGGTTTGTTAGTCAGCGAGATGAAAATGGCTCAGACGATACACATGTTACAGTGGCTGATACACACGCTCTGACACTTGAATGTGATCTTCAGAGGCACGGAGTGCGATTGCGAGCGGCACATGACGCGAGTGTGCTCGACACCGACCGAGTCCAACGATTAGCAATGCAGCTCGAGCACGTCATTCAGCAGCTGTGTACACCAAGCAATGCGAGCAAATCTCTGTCGAGGCTTAACATGCTATATGAGCAAGACCACATTGATATATGGAGCTGGAATGCGGCCGTTCCAGAAGCTAAACACCGATGCTTGCATGACCTCGTCACAGAGACAGCTCGCAAGCAGCCCCAGACCATCCGTTTGTCCATAGTTACATGGGAAAGCTTGGCGCCCGATGCACGTCTGTGTCACCAACACGCGTTTTTGTATGTAATTGACATTTTACGACATCGTCGCCGCACCACGCGTATATAGAGTCTATAACTATATACTATAATAATAATAATAATAATAATAATAATAATAATAATAATAATAATAATAATAATAATAATATTATATAACTAGGTAGAGTAGTACTCTATAGGCCTATGCCTCCTCTAGTCTAAGCTACTATATAAGAAGAAACCCTATAGAGAAAAACTTCCTTATATCTATAACTATATCTTGTTAAACCTCTATTTCGTCTTAAGTATATAGCTATAGGGTACGCCTATTAGCCTATAGCCTATATTACTATTATTTTACCCTTAGGTAGTACGTGTAGGTGCGGAGGTTATTAGTTAAGGGCTGCCCTCGACTAATAATCGGGGTTCTCCTGGGGTTCTTCTGGTATATATCGGGTTACTACTGGCGTATACCGGGTCTCTTCTGGTATATATTTCTGGGTCTACTAGTACTAGAGGAGTAGTAGATATATAAGTATCTATCGGGAGACGTCCTTAGGGTACTTATTAAGCTATTATATAATATCTAAAGTCTTTATAATATAGATAAGCTATTACCGTTATATATAGAGGTTAGGGTATATAGCTAGATAGTGGCGTATTATACCTCTCCGGCCGTACGTCTTATACTATAGGGAGGTATTAGAAACGCCTCTCTTATAGATATAGTATAGAAGTTCTATAGCGCCCGTTCGGGCTTAGATGAGTATAGATACTTAGACTTTCGTTAGCCCTTTATATATCTATTTACTTAGTTTCTTCTATAGCCCTTAAATCTACTCTAGGTACCTATTCTACTAGGAGGTCTAGTAGGCATAGAGTGTCTCTTTCTACTTATCTTAAGTCTACGACTATATATTTTTTACGAGTTCTTAAAGGCTCTACTAGTCTAGAAGAGCGTCCGGGTTATCTCGGACTTCTTATACTACTTAGCTAGAGTTAGCTTCTATTAAGTACCTATACTATATTTAATTCCGGCCTATATATAGGAGTACGCGGTAATATATACTAATTTATATATATAGCGCGGCGAAAGTATATTCTACGTTTCCTATATATTCCTATACTTATTATTTAGTAAAGTATACTACCCTCTATATCTAGTAGAAGTTATATATACTTATAACGTCTATCTCGCGTTATAGTAGTACTATATTAGTAGCTTTATATACGCCTAATATAAGACGGAGTATACGGTTCTATATAGATTTAAGCTTTATTCGCCTAGTCTATATAAGGGCTGTATACTAGCACTCGTGTCCGTATATAAAGGCGGGTCGTGCTATAGATATATATAGCTAGCGTGCCTTATCCCGGGCGGTTCTCTATATAGAGGCTATAATCTATCGTATAGCGGTCTCTACCTAGAGGGCCCTAGAGATAGCGTATACTACTTATAGTCCCTATTTAAGCTTACTATCTAGTATAACTCCGAGCACGCGCATGCTTTATACTAGTAGTTCGTTAAATACGTCGATTCGGGGGCGTTATTTACCTTCCCTAGTTACCTATTTCCCTTAATAATTAATAAAGTATATAAGCTAGTATTTCTCCGGGGCGAACTTTACTCTATAGCGTTTTACCTACTAGAGACACCTCTCGTGGTCCTATTCTAGTTATCTACACGTTCGGTTAGTATTATTATTAATAGCTAGAAGGTATATATTATCGGCGTATCCGACTACCTCTATATACTTTATTCCTTAAAGAAGGTCTACTATAAAGAAGAGGAATAGAATCGGAGAGATAGTGCTCCCTTATAGGATGCCGCATGCCGTCTCTTTATATTTACTCTAGTACCTAGAGATATATATCTAAGTTATTCTTCCTATAAGGAATAACTATATAAAGCGTATAATCTATTCTAGTATTTATCTTATCCGGAGGTTATAAATAAGTCTTATATGGTTTACCTTATTAAACGCTCCGGCTATATCGAGGGAGAGGAGCGATACTACCCGTCCCTATTTCTATACGGCCTAGACGACTTTAATAATATATTAGATAGCTATTATTAGAGAGCTATCTATCTTTACCTTCTAGTTCGGAGGGAGAAGATTATATTTCTATACTACGGTACTTATCTTCTTCGCTATCGTGGTCTCTAGTATCTTACCTAGATAGAAGAGAAGGGCGATTAGTCTCTATCCCTTTAGGGAGTTAGGGCTCTTTTCTAGTTTCGGAAGTATAATAGTATAGGCGACTCGGAAGCTCTAGAGGTGGTACCCCTACGTGACGTATGCTTAGAATATACGAGTAATAAGTAGTAGGGTCGCTTTTATAGTGCTTTTTAGGCATCGATTTAGAATTTAATCTAGTCCGGGTACTTTATTATTTAGGAGTATCTTAATAATATTAAGTATATCCTCCTCTATAACTTCTTTAGGGATATCTACCGCGTGTAGATATTCGGCGCCGTAAACGTCTAATAGGTCTACTAGTTCTAGGAGAGGGAATATAGCCTCCCGTAGGGCCTTAGTTTTCTTAAGGCCCGTGGAGTATGTTCTCCCCTAATATATTAGGGGAGGTATAAGTAGCGGGGGTGTCGGAGTGTCTACGCCCTTAGCCCATTTCGCTATGCGCCATAGCCCTATTACGTATTATATCTATTAACTAGTAATTATACGCTACTATTTACGCCTTTCGTTATAGAGGACTTTATCACGTTATTATATTACTTCCTTCTATTCTTTCTATGACTTAGGTATTCTCGTATAGTATACGCGTCTATATAGCCTTTAGGCGTCTTATCTACTTTCCCGTACTTAAGGAATCCCCTTTACTTCCGGGGGCCGGTATATTTAGTATAGTACGTGTTTATTTCTCGCATTCTAGTATATTTATAGGAGTGTCTATATGGCCTAGTCTATAGCTAGGTCGTTAGATATATCGACTATAGAGGGATCTAGAATCGCCGATTCTAGGTCCTTTAGGTACTTTTCCTAGTTAGTATCCTTCTATATCTATTATCCCCGTTATTTATTCGGGGTATATACGTTTATTACGGTTTCTATATATTCGTGGTCGGAATCCGTCTATACCTAGCCTAGGCGGTAGTATTAGATCGGGTAACTAATGTACTCCGTAGCGAAGGTAAGGTTAAGTATAGACCCGTCTTCGTCCTATTTATATTTTTTCTATATAACTTATTCTATAGGTATAAGTAGGTATAGAAAGTCGTGATAGCGGGTACGTAGTTCCCTTACTCTAAGTTCTTCCCTAACTATGGCTAGGCCTCCCTACTATTAGTGGTAGAGGTTAAAGTCTCCTAGAAGGATATGTTACCCTAGTTCTATAGTACCCTCGAGCATCTCGTCTAGTATAAGTATATATTATTAATTATATATATTATATATATATAGGGGGCCTATATCTATTTATAGGTGTAGTGTTATCCTAAGGTTATCGCGCTCGGTATATAACTATAATAAGAGTGGTATTAACCTATAAATGTAGAAGAGGACTCGTCTTTCTAGTTCTAGAGGGTGTATAGTATAGTATCCAGGGTATATAGTTGGTTTACTCGTCTGGTAGTGTTTATAGGGTTCCTAGATAGCGAGTATTATAGCCCTAGTCTCTTCGAGGAGCGTCGCCTAGTTCTCTCTTTTATATTATACGTTTACCTATATAATTCGGAGTATATTCTAGTCCCTTATTAGGTACTAGAGAGTATATATATCTATATACTTATTTCTCGGAGGCGCGACTATCCTTACGCGGTAGCGGCTTTAACTATGCCTTTTAGTTATTCTATCGTCTTTAGAATAGTCTACTATCCCGCCTAACTACCTTCTAGAGGGGAGGTTAGGGGTATTATAAAGGAAGGGCTCGTAGTAGGTGTTATATTCTATAACTATCTCGCGCCTCTTACTTTTATCATGCGAATATATTCTATAACCTATTTACGTTTTATACACGTTAACGACCATAACGGGTATTTCCCGTCGTAGTTTAAATACTATACTATATCCCTATTTCTTAGTCCGTCTCCTCGCGGTTTATAAGGGTACTTCTAGATGGCATGGTCCCTACGGTACTATCCGTACTTAGTCTTCTATAAGTACCTTTATATAGTGTATCTATACCCTTAATAGTTAAAGTACTATATTATTACCTATGCCCTATCCTATAGCTCGGCCATAAGGAGCTCTCCTTCTATTAGGAATCCCTCCTATATAATATATTATATAAGGGCGGGGTCTCGGAGCTCTATAATTATAGTAGAGTGTTTTTTCGCCGTCGTCTTAATCGCCTATAGGTTCTTCTACCACGCTTTCACGATTTTAATCCCTAGGTATTTTCGCGTATTAGATTATTCTATACGCGTAATATCCTCCGCTTCGATAGCCTATCCCTATATAGGTACTACGTATACTATAATCGGGTATATAGCTACCCTAATGGACGCGCTAGGGAAGATACTACCTATCGCGTTCGGATCTCGTAAGATGTTTTACTATATAGTATTTATTATAGTAGTAAGTACTATCCCACCTAGTATAACTTTAGTAGCTATGATACTTAACTATATTTCTTTCTATTCGTTAATCTTATTTATAATTTCCTTTAGGGATGCCTATTAGACCTACGCTAGCGTGTCCTTATCCTAGATTATAATACGTATACTATATACTCTATCTATGGTTCTAGTAGTCCTTAGTACGGTGGCTCCGGGTGTTACTATAATCTAAGCCCACGTATTAGGGCGCTTACCTTAGAATAGCTCTTCCTAGATTCTCCGTAGACTAGCTTCTATTCGGTCGAGCCTACTACTAGGTTCCTCTTATAGTAACTTCCTTTCTTCCTCTATAATTCCTCTTAGGTTCTAGATAAGGTCCCGGAATATATAAAGGAGAGTCTTCTTTCCCTTCTCGGCGTCCCTCTCTATACGTATTACCTAGTATTTAATTTTATCTAGAAGGGTCTCCCCTCTTAGGGTCCCCTTAGTCTAGATTATCTATAGCGCTTCGTACCCTTAGTTAGTTCCTATATTTTAGATAGGTATCTAGCTATCTATATTAATATCGC